GTGTGTGTGTGTGTGTGTGTGATAACATGCTGTCGCGTGCGTATTAAGCAAATAAATTTATCACTGCTGGTTGCACTAAAAATATAGTACAGGGAAACAGGGTCGAATCCTCAGGAACACAGCCTAAAAGTCAATGCATTTTTGCATCAGGCACAATCTAGTTAAGAAACAGAAAAATAAAAAGGGGGTTTTGATTAAAACTAAAAAACTAAAATTTCCAGTGATATTAAATTTAAACGAAAATCAATATTAAAAATGATTTCAGTTCTGCTGTGGATTTCCTAATCATGCAACTAACTCTGATTTGATTATTTGAGATGCGTTCTATCTAAGCTGGTACTGTGAAAAACTAACAAGCTCCAGTGTAATCTCTTTTACCTAAACTAGTTAATCAAAACAAGCACTTTGAATTAACCCTAACTTTTTACTGTTCAATTCAACAAGCTCTTAATTAAATCAGAAAAATTGCATTAGGTTCTTTGTAAAATTCCTAGAAATACCCAATACTTCTCACAAGCTCGAAAGCATAAAGGTATGATTTTTACAGTTTATACCAGAGTTAAATCCCAAAACGGAACCAATCTGATACTTGTTACTTTTTACTAGTTAATTAGAACAATTACAGATTCTATTAACTGACTAACTTGAATGATTAAAACCCTAGTTAGGTGATCAGACTAATAAGAATTTAAAACCAAACATTCATTAAGCTCAGAATTGAAAAATCTAGATAGAAACACAAAATGAAAATCAGATCTGAAAGCTAATCACATGAAAAGTACTAGTCTATGTAGAATTGAAAATAACGTTTAGCCAGACATGGCCAAAAATGAAATCAAACTAGATAAAAAAAACATTTATTGATCAATCTAGATAAACTAAATGTGTGAGATGATTCGCAGTCTTCAGATCTCCAAAAGTCGATGAAAGAATTCAAAAATCGCCTTTTGAAGTGGTTTTCTTCGTTTGGAATCGTCCAACTCTTACAACTGATTATGAGGGTTGTACTTATACTCAAGGTGGAAGCTTCTGGAACAAGAAACTGATAACGTGCGATCGCAGGTTTTCAAGAAAACGCATCACGGACCTTTTTAATGAAGTACGATGTTTTTCTGGGCTTTTTTGGAAAAGTTGCGATCACATAGAGGGAAGTTGCGATCGCATGTACATAGGTTGCGGTCGCATGTATTGATTTATACTTCAGATGACTTCCAGAAGACTTATTTTGACCCTGGGAAGCTTCGTGGAAAACATGCGATCGTAGGAAACACATGCGATCACATTTTAGGCTATTTAATCGCAGATTTGTCTTTCTTATAAACACAAATTTTTTTGGAAATTGTGTCTAGTTTTCAGAACATTTTGAATCTCGTCAATCGGAGTTACAGTTCATGAGATATGGTCAAAATACTGACAGGGGGTCAAAGCTGTCAGCAACATCCTCTAGCTTCAGATTGTAGATTCTATCTTCGTGTGATCAATTCGATCGAATGTTTCTTAACCGAATAATCTTTCAAGCATTCCTCAACATATCCCTTCAGTTCTAACTCCATTTAGGCTCCAAATATGCATCCAACTGCTCCCAAAGCACTGTTCACTCGAACTATCTGAAATTAACATAAAAAATATGATCAATACGGGAATTCTAACGAAAAACATGAGTTGAACATTATTTAATTAAATGACACAAAAATGTACAAAATATGATGCTAAATGATAATGAAAACTACCCTAAAAGATGCATAAAATGGCATCTAACAGTATATGTGTGTGTCTGTGTTTATGTGTAAAGTGTCATGTATCTGAGCATGACAAAGAGGAAGGAAATATAGGGTTATATACATTATATCCCTATGTAAGATTAAGAAAATGTGGGTATACGTGTAACACATGTATCTGAGCATTTATGTATAACCAAAGTATGTACAAGTGGGTAAAGAAGAATGTGGGTATCGCGAGGTATACCCGTAAGAGTAGATAAAGAAAGAATATGATTGTATGTAATATAATCCTATGTATAAATAGATGATAAGAAAGGTGTATGTGGATACCTAAGAGATAGAAGATTATTATATATAATATAATCATATGAGTATGTAAGTATGTCTAGCTACCATTAGTATTGTAGAATGCTACATAGATAAAGATTAAGTACTTAATGATTTAAGTACTAGAAGAGAAAGATTAGAAGGTTTCTTGATGAGACATAGATATAGATGTTCCTTCGCAGAAAAAAGATGGATTGTTCCTACGGGAACATGAGTATGGTTCCTTTAGGAATAAACGATAGAAAATTCATGCGGGAATAAGAGTAAGGCTCCTATGGGGACAAAAGATAGAAGATTCATTCAGGGATAAGAGTAGAGATTCGCATAGGGACAAAGAGTATGATTCCTGTGGGAATGAGATTATTTCCCTATGGGGAAAGAGATAGATGATTCCCTCTGGGAATGTAGATAGATGGTTCTTGCAAGAATCTAGATTGACTATGATTAGAAGAGATAGAGAAAGGTTCCTTGGGAGGGATAAGATTAGAGAGTTCTTTGTAAGAACTTAAATGTAACCCATAAGAGGTTAAGAGTAAGGAATCCATGAGGGATTCAAGAGTAAGAAGGAAGATGAATGATCCATGATGGGTCATAA